AAGCGATCCATCCTGCACAGTATCGAAAAAGAAGGTCGATTTCATTCCACGATTTAGCAGACCAGGAAATGGTGGTGGTCAGAGGGAGTGTAAAAACCCACTATCATATTCCCCCCCCACCGACCACCACTACATTCCAGAGCCATGGAGGGTGATAGCGTAGTGTATGATACCAGATTCGTGCGGCTACACCCGGGCGTCCGGGTGGAGGAAAAGGGAAAAAAGATATCGGTACGGTAATCCGCGTGAGGTTGTCTTGGAACAGGGATTTTCTGGGCCATAGCTCTCATTTCTCCACCCAAGCGGTGGTGGTCATTGGGGGGAGCCTGGGCGGAGGAAGGATGGAAGGAAAGGGAAAGAAGGACAAGGCGAAACTGGGATGAAATGCTGTGTGCAACTTTTCCAAGTCTACAATGCAGCATGATAGACCATCCTCCCGCCGACGGTTTGTGACAGAGGGCGTGGGATGGTGCAGGCGGCGCGGTCACTCGAGTGCTGAACCGCACGAGCCGCTAAACTCGCTATGCAGCCAAGATGCTAGCGCATGGGTACTGTACGTGGCCAATCGGAGCGCGACAATCTTGTGGCCCCATGGCGATAATCCTTGAGCCCCATTTCTGGAAGGCAGCTCTCACAGCGTACGGTACTTGTACAGTACTGTACGAGTAGAGTACTCGTACGGGTGCCCGTATGATATTTTTGTGACGGCACTGTACTTGTGGTACCGCATGCACGTCAGTCTCGGCAACATGGCGAGTTTTGGCGACTTTATGCGGTACTCGAGCACAAAATGAGCGAGCTGTGGCCACCGGGAATCAGCGTAGCTGAATGCATGCAGTACTCGAGTACTGAATTCGGTAGTTGTAGCGGTGTAAATCTGTGATCGCAGTGGGGAGACCGCGTTTCAATCAACTCCTGTCTCTCCGCAACGGTTCCGGCCCCACCTGTCGCAATGCGCTGCTAGTACACCCTGGAACACTAGTAAGGACGTGTGGATACAACCCCCCCCCGAAAAGCTGGTGTGCAGCGATGTGTGGGTTCACCTTATACTGGATCAAGTACTGTACAGTAACGTGCGGTGCTAGTTCTATCGGTGCTGTGGCTGCTGCGGACAAGGAAAATCCCACAAGGTGCACTGGTTCACAAAGCTCTCATATCCAGCAGTGTGAATATAAAACGGTGCCCGAACATACCCTTCCAGTACACGAGCGAGAAGAACAAATAATAGCACGGGAACAACGAAAATATACCCAATCCCTTCTTGATCTGCTGTTAGCCATTGTACGAGTACTAAACCTACCCATGGATACCTCTCGAGGGTGCGGTTTGGGCATTGTCCAACAGGGGAACGGCCAATCTCTGAGAATGCCTCGGCAGGTGGGGAGCTCTGGGAACGGGGGGGCATGATTACCTTCTATCGTTTCCCTCAGGCTACAATGCCTCCTCCGTCGCTTAATGCGGCATACATGCAATCAACCAGAACAGAACACCGGTGCGAGATAATCCTTCAAGGACATCTGGTCCACAACAACAAATTCCTCGCAACCGCCTGTTACACAGTCTCCCTGTGCAATTGTGCAGTTGCACCTCGCTATAACGAATGCCAAGAGTTCAGGCTTTTTCGTTCGTTATAGAGAGGTTTTGAACGGAATCCCTTATAGGGAGAGCCGTTCGTATGGAGCAAGGGGGTAAATTCGCAGAGGAGTCGTCCGTAGCAGCGAGGTTTCCCGTATAAAGAGATCCATTATGGCGAGGTGCGATTGTAAGGTATTGCGTGTGTCGGCGCTAATACCGGCCATGATGGGAACGGTGGTAGCGTATTGTAAAACCAGGTCGCTGGCATTAGCTTCTTTGAAGTGCGGATCCGCCTCGAAAGAGGTTAGCCTTCAGCGGTAAGATGGTCCCGTATCCGATCATAAACCCTCCCCTCAGCCCCCAAGACGGCAGCATTTGCACTCTCGATACACCTCGATTCCAGCAACATTTTTTTCAACCGGAATAGCCTGACTTTCGATCGCTGGTTGCCAAATCGAAAGGGTGAGGGGACTTTGTCAGAGCTGAGTGGCCTCTAATTTACCTCTACCGGTATTTGAATCATTTCATAATATCATACTTACCCACTTGCGCCAAGCCATAATACCCATACGAGGAGAGTTCCAGAAATGCCGGTACTACTCGAGTATGAGGGGCTTTCTACCTTTTACGCAGTTACCGAGGGAGCCGGATAAAGCTGCGCTTGCGTGAAGCAACCTTAATAACTTGGGCGTTCATCACCCCGGCCACCGGGAAAGCGGCGCTCCTTGGGACCCTTCGAGGGTCAATTGCCTCGCTGATGCGATGCTCTTCAGGCTTATCGCCACTCTTGCTTAACTTAGCCAATTGCGCTGCCCATCCCCGTTTCCCGTACCACCACCGAACCCGCAGAATAATCGGCCGTCCCCGTCGTCCAATATCCCACCCCCCAACCCGAGATGGCCTCCGCACAGACACTTTGGTCCTAGACGGAACATCCCCGAGCACCCTCGGGGAGTGCCGCAGGTCTACCGGGAGCAGGAGAGATAGGCTAGGGTATGAGTTGCAGATTGAGCTCTGGGAAATCAATACCGGTATGGTCAAGACTCCAGAAGGAAGGCCGGATTGGTTATGGGGGTTTGACAATTGTATAGGGTTTGTGTGATGGTGCAGGGTCATCACAAAGTTTCGAGATATGCTAATTTACATAAACCAATCCAATTCCGGTCATAGGCAAATGTGGGCACCATACAAGCCCGACCCTTGGTTTACAATATGCGTTTTTACCATGGCTCACTGTGAAGCCGTAATCTCTCAGAATCACTTGCAATCTAACCTCGCTGTCACGAGGTTCGAAAACACAAGCACGTACTCGCATACCTCGCTTTCCCGCATGAAATTCTCTGAATTCAGAAAAGTTAAACTTTGCACCAAAACTTGGCCCGTTGTACCGGATAGACCCTTTTGATTCTAGCCAGCCGGGATAGCGGGGTGCAACTGTATTTAAAAGAGACAGGGGCCACTCGGGTACCTAGGACTATACCGTACCCGTGCGCGGCGCGGGTAGCCCCAACTTGCAAGACCAAAACCTGCCTATCGCAGGCAGACTTCACCATCCCCATGTCGCTCTCGTTTACATGTACAACGTACCCCCGTCCCCACTCCACAACAGAATGCCCCAATCCCGCTTCCAAATCGGTGAGGCACAGGCATAGTTGCACTCGAGTGCTGGGGGAAAGTGCGTTCGCTTGTCTTGCCCGGGTGGGAGTTTTGTGCTTTTTTCCCGAGCGCGGTGTGCGAGGTGTGTGGGTAGATAATTTGGGCGCCCAACTCCACCTCTCGCTCATTTCACTCGACTGGAAATACGGAGCTGTACTCGAGTACTAACCTACTACCCGGATCAACCAAGGGGCGAGGTATTCTTATGACTTATGGCGGTCCATTTCGCGACCTTTTTGATGTTGTTGCTATGGTATGGTATGGCGGGGCTCCCCAGTCCCGCCCGTCCATCACCAAAACGAGGGCTCCCTGCCGGCAGCTCTCTGTCTGGGGAGCTCTGGGCTTAGAGCTCCTCTCTCACGATTCTATACGCGACCGGTGACTGCAGACTACATACCGTACTCGAGTACTCGAGTACGGTACAGCGCCATACTATCTTTTCCCTGATGCTGGTCGCCTGGCGAGCGCGGGAATCGAGGTTATCGGTCAGGACGTTTAAAATTGGAGCCTACCGCCGTCTCGCCCTCCCTCTCTCGAATGCGGTAGGTAAGGTTTGGAGGTGTGGTGGTGGTGATGGTGGCGAGCTGAGAGAGGGTCCAATCACAGTGCTTGTACGAGCACGTTAGCTGGAGGCGGGGGGGGGGGGTATGATATCACACCCACCCAAAATCAAGGGGTTTTTGATATCGGGTAGAAGGTCGCGCTTCAGTATTGCCACCACGCTACAGAGTACATGTACGGTACAGGTACGGTACCCGACAAGCTGAAATTTTGCATAATACCGGTACTCGTTTACCATGGAAATTTAGCTAAAGTTACGGCATAGTGGAGAGAGATAAATTTATGTCGTCTTGATTGTTATTCCAGCCTGAACCGGGCCCACTTGGACTTGCATGCTCGTATGTGCGCAAACTTTCATTTTAGAAGGGTTTAGCCCCCCCAATGCCAAGTATGATATATATCATCGTGCTGTTGCTAGGGGCAACGAGCCGATTCACCATGGGTTAACTGGTGGAACTGTGCAAGCACAAATTATGCTATGTACTGTTTATATTTTGATTGGAGATACACGATGGACCATGTTAAACTGTGCTATTATAACCTGTAAGCAAACGGCCCATACAAATCAGCATGAGTGGATGCCTAGAAATCTGCCATGGCAAATTCCCCATCTCAAAATCATCCATCAAGTGCATGCACCTGACCACTACGACACCCCCACTTGCCCCGGTTACCGTACATATCTGTGTGATAAAAAAAACAAAAATAAAGAGGTTAAGCCCGGTTTAGCACAGGCTGGCCAAACCCACATGATCTACCATCACATTTTCATGCTAAATTTTAGCGCAGTGCCGTATTGATAACAAGGACAGCTAGGGTACGGTAAACCCCTCCACTCTTCTCGAGTGGAATGCTGTATCATACGGTATAGTGGACAAGCGAGTGTCTCAAGTGCTCTGCAATACCCGTACAGTAGCGTCGCCGTAAGCCAAGACCTCGATAGCTCTTGGAGCTACCGGTACTGCATATAGTTTTGCCAGAGTGCTGCCCTTCTTTGTGCCATCTACTGTACTACAGTAGCTCCCTTCCCCCCCAATATTATGTGCGGGAGGAAGCCACGCGCTTGCTCGGACTCGTACGCCCCCCCATTCAAAGGGCAAAGTTTGTCCTCCGGACCCCACCTCCTTAAAGTCTCCCGTCCACCCTTCCCCCCCCCCCCCGCCTTCCTACAATTTCTTCCCTCTCCTCCTCTTTTTCCTCTTCTCCCTATCCACCCCCCTCTTCACCACCTCTCCCCCCCCGCGTCCGTAGAGTGGTTGTAGGGTCGACAACCTTTTTCTGATTTCGGTATCCGGGGGTGCACATACTCGATTCTCGGGGGTTTCTGATTTTTCCAGCTTTCTTCATTACAATCCACCCAACCATGGCCGGAGGGGGTGCAAACTCCACGGGCCCCGCCAGTCAGGCGGGGGTCTTGGAGGGGATGAATCCTTCCCATTACAATTCTAATGATCCTCTTACACTGTTCATCATTCAGGTTGGTCCTCATTCGCCTCGCTGGTTAAACTTTGGGGTGAAGTGTGGTGAGCGAGGGCGGGCGGGAGCAATGTCGGGAACCCTTTATTCTGACGGTGCGTGCGCAATAGGTCACCCTTATCATCGTCGTTTGCCGTCTTTTGCACTGGCCTCTCTCAAAGCTACGACAGCCCCGTGTTATTGCCGAGGTCGTTGGTGGCATCATCTTGGGTCCTACCGTGATGGGTAGAATCCCTGGCTTCAAGGATGCCATATTTCCCAAGGCCTCAATGCCCTTGCTTTCTCTGGTTGCCAATCTCGGGCTTGTAATATTCTTGTTCCTTGTCGGACTCGAGGTGGACATGCGATTGCTGCTTGTGAACTGGAAGGTTGCCGTGAGTGTCAGTGCGGCGGGAATGGTGCTGCCCTTCGGACTTGGTGCGTAAAACCATAACCAATCATGACCCTGGTTCCTAGGCACGCACGACTGACCTTGGTGCTTCCCCCGTATTGGCTTAGGCGCGGCCATCGCTTATGGCCTTTATCATGAGTTTAGGGGCGACAATGGGGTTGATGACAAAATCTCGTTTGGGGTCTACTTACTTTTTATTGGTGTTGCAATGGCGATCACGGTACGTGGTGTAGCCGACATCTTCAGCTCGTGCGTTGCATTGCTTTTGGGGTGCTGACTGTCTGTGTCCGTGTTTGGTAGGCCTTTCCGGTGCTCGCTAGGATTTTGACGGAACTCAAGCTTCTGGGCACAACTGTTGGGACCATCGTCTTGTCGGCTGGTGTGGGTAATGACGTTGTCGGTTGGGTCTTGCTCGCCCTGACGGTCGCATTGGTCAATGCGGGAACTGGGCTCACGGCGCTCTACGTCCTGTTGCTATCGATTGCCTGGATTTTATTCTTGGTTTACGCTGTTCGACCCGTGTTCATGTGGTTCTTGCGCCGTGATGGCTCCTTGGAGAATGGACCGACTCAGTCTATGGTGGCGCTAACAATGCTAATGGTTCTCGCATCGGCATTCTTCACCAACATCATTGGCGTGCACGCGATTTTCGGGGGATTCTTGATCGGATTGATTTGCCCCCATGAGGGTGGTTTCGCTGTTCGGCTTACGGAAAAGATTGAGGATCTCGTGTCCGTCTTGTTCCTCCCCCTTTACTTCACTCTTTCCGGGTTGAGGACGGATATTGGATTGCTCAACGGGGCTGTTGCGTGGGGGTATGTCATTGGCGTCATTGCTGTGGCTTTCTTCGCCAAGATTAGCGGCGGCACCCTGGCGGCAAGGCTCAACGGCCTAGTGTGGAGGGAGAGTTTAACCATTGGTGTCCTTATGAGTTGTAAGGGTTTGGTTGAATTGATCGTACTAGTAAGTTATTTCGGTAGCTTGATAAGAGTCGGAACCAATCGCGAGAGGGCCATCATATTAATTTTGCGGTGTTTTTGAAGAACATTGGTCTTCAAGCAGGGATTTTAAGTGTGAGGGTCTTCACGATATTCGTGATCATGGCTTTGGTTACCACCTTTGCTACTACCCCATTGGTAACATATTTGTACCCTCCATGGTACCAGAAGCAGATGGATGCCTATCGGAGGGGCGAGGTTGACCGGGAAGGAAACCCGACTCGGCCTGGCGATGGCAGCAGCTCCGGTGGCACTCTTGCGGAACGGAAGGCAGTCGTTACCAGGTTCTCAAAGATCACGGTTCTGCTTCGTCTTGAGAGCATGCCGAGCATTCTCACCTTTGTCAACTTGTTGACCGGAGAACGAGTGCCACCTGCGCCCAAAGTTCACAAATCAAAGGCGGCAATTCCGGAGGAAGATCCATCATCGTCCCGCTCCGAGATCAGCAAACGTCCCTTGGAGGTGCATGGCGTCCGCCTCGTCGAACTCACTCAGCGCACATCCACAGTCATGCAAGTGTCTGAGGTTGACGAGATACAAGATAGGGATCCTGTTGTCAACGTCTTTCGCTCCTTCGGCAGGTTCTTGAACATGGCCGTCTCCGCTGTGTTGTTTATAACGCCCGAGGATTCCTTCGCCGAGACTTTGGTCAATAAGGCTGCCGATTGCTCCTCCGACCTTCTCCTGATCCCATGGAGCGAGACTGGCGCCATGAGCGACGCCCAAGACCCGCAGTATGCGAATGCCGAGAATCGCTTTACTACTCAGCAGCATAACCTGTTCATTAGCAAAGCTCTCGATACAGCTGCTTGTACCACTGCTATCATGGTTAATCGGGGGTTTGGAGGTCCGTTGATGGAACGAACCCTTACTCGTGCTATCAGTCAAATCAGTGTCCGGTCTCGCAAGAACACTGATTCTCCCGCCCCTGTTCTTCCAGTTGCTGACCCTTCGCATCACATCTTCTTTCCCTTCTTTGGCGGCCTGGATGATACCATTGCCATGAGATTTGTCCTGCAACTTGCCGCCAACACCAACGTTACGGCGACTATTGTCCGCGTCGTCTACAAAGCCGGCGCTACAGAAGAGCCCTTGGACCTCCCCGTGCCGGCTAAAATTCATCGCCGCGATCTGCCGAGAGGCCTCTCCATGTCTAACGTGCCAACACTCTCCCGCGAGGATACGGCCAAAAGCTCCGCAACCCAACTCCCAGCCACCGCCGGCGACTCCGAGGTCCCAGACGCCACAGGCGCCTTCTTCCAGTCAATGGCCGACTCTGTCCCCACCGCCATTTCCGATCGCGTCCTCTTCGACACCGTCGAAACGGCCCAACCCATCCACTATGTCATTTCCAAGGCGAAGGGAGAAGTTGGCCTATCGAAGAATGCTGGGGACTTGGTGATTGTGGGACGCAGCCAGCCCGACCTCCGGGACGACATCAGACGCGAGCTTGTCTCTGTCCTAGCCTCCTTGGATGTCCCCTCTGGTGCGGGCAGCGAGACGAGAAGATGCCTCGGTGATGTGGCGGAAGCTGTCATCGTCTCTGGGATCAGGGCATCTATGATCGTTCTCAAAGCTGGCGGGAGAGCCCTCGAACCCGATGATCAGAAGGGTGGCGTTTTCTCCTTTTGAGTCTGGGTCTTTATGATTTGTCTTCTTGGCCTGCTCCCGGTTGGATGTCGGTCTGTTGTGGCGTGGATTATGATTTCTGTCATTTTTTTCTTCCTGTATGATACTCTTAAGATTTTTTTCTTTCTTCTCCTTTCTTCTCTTTCTCCTTTTGTGTTCTACCTAATGGCTGCTACGAGTGGGTGGGGGTACTGCCGTGGGGATGGGTGCGAGTATCAGATGATGATGCCGTATGGTAGTTAGTAGGTTCGTAGATGAAGAATGATTGATGGAAACTCCAAACCCTTATTCCCAGCGCGATGTGCTCTATTGGCAATAACTATGCAGGTAGCTGGCCGCCTCCTTGCCTGAAGGCCAGGAATCGGGGGAGAAGGGGAAAAAAAAAGTCCATAGGTGTGATACCATACTAGTGGTGATAAAGCACCGGTATTGGTCATGATACGATGGGAAGGAAAAATCAAGGCTCGACCCCGGGTTTGAACCGGGGACCTCTCGCATTCAAACTCAGAGTGAACCCTAAGCGAGAATCATACCACTAGACCAGCCGAGCTCCAATACCCAAAATTTCAGATTTGCCAAACATATGATATTCCCCCACACTTCTCCTGATCAGTTACCAGTACAGTATTAATCACCCCAATGTTTACAGCACCGCAGCCTCCCACCTCATTCCATCACCATGAAAGTACTCGTAGTTGCTGCAGACCAGAACTTTACAAGCAGGAGTATTAGCCCCCCTTCCCCTCCCCCCTCCCCCCTCCCCCCTCCCCAGACCGGATCATTTCATACCACC